AACAAACTTATACTTATTTAGCACAAAAGCATCTGGTAAACTGACCTCGTGCTCAGAGGACTGAATAAATAGAGCACACTTTTAATTTCCTAAAAAAAAAAAATACTCCAAGATAATCCTATTTATACCATAACATAACTGGTAGAAAATGTAGCATGCCTTCAGAAGTTACTAAAATGGTACATTTAGCCAATATATATATTCTGATTAAGTAATATTTTTAGCAGAGCTGCAGGCACATTTGCTAAATAAGCTGGCTTTTAATGATTCTCCATATTATGCAGAACCAAGACAGAAGAACAAGGAGATTGTATCTAACACAATCAAAACAGGAAGCTCAGATAATCTCTAACCATCCTCTCTGTAATGAATCTTGAATATGTTCTGAAAACCCAAAATCTCATTCAAACAAGTATAGGTACTTGTTTAGGTAAGATAACTATATTAGTTTTCAGAATTCTATACATCTCAACCTAAATATTAGCAAGAAAGAATCAATGGTGAAGTACGGTAAAAAAACATACTTGAATTCAATACAGGATTAAGTATGAAAGACTGAGGTTTGTGTTTTATCACTTTTGTGTCATCATGGTTTGTATTGAACATCGGTGTCAATCAATCAGCAGTCAATCATTCGAGCAACAGTAGTGAAAGAGACTTTTGGAAGATGCTCTGTCAAAGGAAATCCAACTTTTTTTTGTTTAAAACAGATGTAATGAACTCTGACATGCCTACCCAAGTCATTTTATAAATCTTTGCCTTACCTCTCAGATTTTCTTCCCAAAACAGAAACAAAACTTTTAGCTAGGAGTTTCTTTCATGGATTATTGCCAGGTGACCTCAAAGGGAAGGAATGCTGTGGAATATATTAAATGACATATTATTTTACAACAGGAAACTAGAGGTTCCAGAAATGTCAGTCCTGATATTCTGTATGTAATCTGAGTAATTCATTGAGGTAAAGGCAGAATAGACTCATATTAAAGGTGCGTTTCTTAATTTCACTCTTTCCAGTTATTAGTGATTCCCTCACTGTGATTAATTATATTTAGGTAGGGTGTTTGTTTATATTCCTTCCCAAGCTCTTGTAGTGGCTCCAGCCACTTAATTATGACTGATAATTTCAATGCTAGAGTAGGTCACAATTTTGATTCTCCATTTTCTTCTGAGCTATGGCATACATTTTATTTATTTAATTTGTATCCTGCCTATATTATTTTTACAAATAACCAAAGGCAACAGATATACTTAGTACTCCTTCCTCCTTCAATTTTCTCAACCACAACACTGTGAGATGGTTTGGGCTGAGAGTGACTGGTTCAAAGTCACCCAGTTGGTTTTCATGAGAGGCCATCCTAATTTTCTTGCTCATAATGGGAATTCTCATTGTAAATCATTTGGTAAGTCATTCTGTTTCAGGTAAGTCATTGTTTCAGGTAAGTCATTCTGTTTCAGGTAAGTCATTCTGTTTCAGAACACAGATGCAGTGCTGTTCATTACATTCTGACTGTTGTGATTTTTCTGCTATTTGAGTTTTACTGCTAGTTTTTGGACTGAAAGTGGTCTTTTGTCTTTCACACTTGTCCATTCTTTCTAATTCCTACTATTTTCCTAATCCCCATCTATTTTTTTGACTACGGTATTTTAGTTTACAGGCATAGGAAACAGCAATGGTTTGAAAATATGCAGTCCAAACATGCTGTATTCTTTGATGCCCCCAAGGCTTTGCCTTTTAATGGAACAGTGGTCAACGGTGGCAATATGATATATTTCACATGTGCTTATGCATATTTTCTATTTGTCTTAAATGCTGATAACGGTTCACTTCAAAGACACATTCTCAAACTTGGTTTGGTCAACACCGCCACAAGGCCAAAAAAGCAATCTAAAACTATTTTTAAGCAGTGTAAATGTGCTAATCGTTCTGTTCTGGCCCAAGAGTTTTACCACGGGTTAAAAAAAATTATAAACCTCTACTCAGAAAAATAATGGGACTACCAAATCTGGGCTGACAACTTCAGAGGATCACTAGGCAGCAGCAAAAATATTAAAAAGCTGCCATCTAGTGGGAGGTCTGGATTTGTGTAGCCGAGATATGGTAGCCCTGGAGGATTTCCTGTTGCTTGTCTAATAATCCCAAATTTATTTTAGGAAACAATCAGGGCAATTTCTTAAAACTTTTGGACTCGTTAACTGCTCAATTATCCATAGTGTGAGACAATTCCATTTCCCAAAAATATAAAAGTGCCAACTATGTGCCACAATAAGGTGTTTTAATACACATCATTTCCTTGCCTGGCCTCTGGAAATTTAATCTGAAATAAGAACTTTGATATTTTTGCTAAATCCTGAGAAAGTACCAAAAGCCCAATTATATAATCTTAAAAGACTCTGAAAGTTTATGCTTTGCTATAGATATGCCCTTCTGGCAATTCTTTACCTCAATTAATAGATAGCTGTTTACTTATATCCTGGTTACAAGTCATTAATATTCCTTTTTGCAATAACAATGAAAAAGATTGTCTTGCCGCTTATACATAGGATAGCATGCTTTCAGGAATCAGTAAATTATATGCCACTTGTCTTAAGAAACTGTAATCTTTAATAGGAAGACGATATGGTTATATTCAGAAAAGGAAATAAATTGTAAACAATCTTTCTTTCCCCAAGGCCCTTTTCACATCAAGATGTGAACCATGTCAGTCCCATGTTTTCAACAAGAAGTCCTTGCAGTTCATTGTTATTTTAAAGCCATTGTGATCCTAACCTACACTTTCAACTTAAGATTTAGTTTGAGTCCCTGGTAAATGTGAAAACAGCAACATCACAATAATAGATGGCAAGTCTAGAGAAATAGGAAAGAAAGTACAAACTGCCTAATTTGACTTGACTCTGAAAATGCATTGGAGCCCTGCTGCCCCCCCCCCTTTTTTTGAAGCACAGGAGAGGGCAAAGGATTGGGAAGGGTTTAATCCTTTCCTTATATTTTTCCAGTATGTTTTATCTTCAAAGGTGTTAGAAAAATGAAGGACCCATGGCTTTCATTTGTATATCACTGAAAAATACCACTCCCTTAGAAGCAGTGTTCTTCAATGTGCCTCTTTTTCTTCTTGATTATTTTCTTTGAAACTAAGAATGGCTTTTAATGCATTAAGTCAGCGGTTCTCAACCTGTGGGTCGCAACCCCTTTGGGGGTCGAACGACCCTTTCACAGGGGTCACCTAAGACCATCGGAAAACACATAATTACATATAATGCTTTAATTATGTTCAATTTGTAACAATGAAAATACATCCTGCATATCAGATATTTACATTACGATTCATAACAGTAGCAAAATTACAGTTATGACGTAGCAATGAAAATAATTTTATGGTTGGGGGTCACCACAACATGAGGAACTGTATTAAAGGGTCGCGGCATTAGGAAGGTTGAGAACCACTGCATTAAGTGGTCTGTTCAATTCCTTCCCTCTCAACTTAGCCACAATGGCGGTGGGACATCAGTGGAACACCAAAGAAAGATGTATTAAATTTTCTGCCTTTTGCACAGCTTCCAAAAATGCTATGGCAATGGAAAGTCATTTTTGTTTTGCTTTTCAAGACTAACTCCTTCAAATCAGAACAGAAACTAGTAATTGTCAGACATGTCAAGTTCCCAGCCAGTTATTTATTCTTAATAAAGTTTGAGGCATCTTCATCACCAGGCAATCGACACAGATAATAGATATAACAGTAGACATCTAGGACAGACCTTTCCCATGAGTTTAAAATTTAGCAAATAAGCCAATTCTCCGGATTCATCCGATTTATACAATTGTAAATGGATGTAAATCCAAATACTGTGACTGGATTAGTCAAACAGTAGTAGATTGACAGCCCTATTATTCACCAAAAATATACTGACCAGGTCCATGTAACATATTAAGTCATAAGCAAAAAATGAACATTTTTTGGTTTAGTTTAATGTAGCCCAATCTCTGCATGGAAAGAGAATGGGTACAAACCACGAAAACCACATCCATTTCAATAATTCCATTGACACTTATCAAAGATAACTAAAAGTCAGAATTGCTAACACAGCACTATAAAATGAAACCACTAAAATATATTGAAATTCTTAATATTATTACTATAGAGCCGGTGATTCTCAACCTCAACAGCTTTAAGACGTGTGGACTTCAACACCCAGAATTCCCCGTACAGCCATAAAGTTGCCAAGTTTGAAAAAAAAAAATACTATCATTAGAGTTGCCAGGTCTGTTTCCAAAAAATAGCGGACAAGCGGGGGGGGGGGGTTAAGTAGTAAAAAAAAGTAGACTGTACAGCTTTAGATTACATACCATTTCATCATAAAGCTTTTGAATAAAAAAAAATGTCCACTATTTTGTGAAAAAAAATAGTGAACATGTGAAAAAAGGGGACTGTCCACTCAAATAGTGGACACCTGGCAACCCTAACTATCATAGATCAGGGGGTCTTCAAACTTGGCCCTTTTATGACTTGTGGACTTCAACTCCCAGAATTCCTCAGCCAGCGTGTCTGGCTGAGGAATTCTGGGAGTTGCATAAAAGGGCCAAGTTTGAAGACCCCTGTCCTAGATTGTAGCACTGAGTTTATTCGACCTGCTCATTTCTATCGGGGCTGATTGGGGACAGCGAGCCAGAAACGCCATTCACAAAACCCATCCCAGGCTGCAGCCAACTGCGCAGTTAAGACTGCGTTCCCCCTTCAGAGGCCAAAAACTTTCGCTTCCTTCACTACCAGGCAATCCCCGATTCAACTCCACAAGCGAAGCCCTCGGGGGGGGGGGGTCACGCTCCACGTTTTAAAGTCGTCAGCCTTCTTGGAACCAATAGGAAGAGACGGCGCGCGGCGCGCTCGTGTGACGCCACAAGAAGGCGAGGAGCTCGCGCATTGATTGGGAAATCCGGGGCCGGAGGGAAGATTCTAAACGGGGAGGCGGCAGGAGAGTCCATCTGGGCAGGTGGAGGAGGGGGGGCGGCGGGAAGGAATCTACAACGAAGTGAGACGTGGACAATGGCCCAGCAGCATCAACGGTGAGAATGGGCGTTGCAGCTGTCAATGTATTTGGACTAAACTGGCATTTTTATTGTTTTTATTGTCTCCCCTCCCCAATTTATATCTGGGTATTTTTAAAAGCCCATCGGGCTAAAAGGAAAGGAAGACCCAGTCACATCTGTTCCAGGGCATAGAAGATGGAGAGTTTGGGATATAAAAAAAAGGGAAGAGGAGCTGGCAAGTGCAAAAAAAAAAAGCCAGCCACGGAGGAATGAGATCTTTAGATAAATCACTTTGAAAACCTGTGCAGATTGATGTTGCACCCTGAAGGAAATCTGGGATTCTGCCTCTGCAACAGATCGCAAGCGTTCTTTTTGATTAAAGATAATTATTTTTATTTTATTCTAATAAATGGGGCCACCAAATAGCCGTTCTCGATTCCCCCAGCTCTTCCCTTCCTTTCTCAGCATTGACTTGACTTACAACAACAATTGAGCCCCAAATTTCTGTTGCTAAATGAAACATTTGTTAAGTGAATTCTGCAGTTAATTTAGTAACTTGGTTGTTAAGCGATTTTGCTTGTCAGAAGGTCTCAAAGGGGGATCATGTGACCCTGGGACACGACAACCGTCATAAATATGAAACAGTTGCCAAGTGTCTGAATTTTGATCATGTGACCATAGGGATGGTTGCAATGGTCATACATGTGAAAAGCAGTCATAAGTCATTCTTCAGTGCCATTGTAACTTTGAATGGCCACTAAGTGAACTGTTGTAAGTTGAGGACTACCTGTAGGATAGGTTTCTGGATAGGTTTCTGAGTTGTTGAATCTCTGAGTGATAGAATGAAAAAGAAAAAAAAAATCCTGTTGGCTTTGTATTGGCTTATAAATAAACTGGGAATACCTTTGACTTGAAGATTTGATAGCAAATTGCCATTTCTGGACTGTGCCTTTGTTCACTATTCTTTAGCATAACTGTATTTATTTTTATTGCTTTTAGAATAATGACAAAAAAGCAAAACACAACACAAAGATAATTATGATAAAATAACATACATTGTCAAAAAAGCTTCTTTAAAAAGTGGAAAAAATACACCAAAGGAAAAGAGTATATATCACTTTAACATTAAATTGCAATTGTATATATACTCATATAAAGTAATTATTATTCAGCTACATATATATTTCTAATACATTTATATAAGTATCATTTTTACCTAATATATTTTGTATGAATGGGTCCCAAGTTTCATTATATTTAACCAAACAAAATCTATATCTATAGATAATCTATCCATAGGTGGCAAATGCAATCAGGTCTAGTTTGGCAATGAACATCTGCAGGAAATATTCTCATCTGTTGAGTGAAAGGGCCCAGACATTTATTTTTCCAATTCTACAATATTAGTCTGATACTTTAGAATAAATAAAGAATAATGTTCTGTCTCATACCTTTGAGCTCACAGTATATCTAACTTATTTGGTATCCTATGACTATCACTGAGTGTTGTATCTTATGATTTATGATGATTGTATTTATGATTATGATCATGATTTATCACTTGTTGCTTGCATGTACCCTGAGAGCTTATGCACCAGAGGCAAATTCCTTGTGTGTCCAATCACACTTGGCCAATAAAGAATTCTAAATTCTAAAAATTCTAAATTCTAAAATTCTAAACAACCCTCTGGCCCTCCAAAAGCACACAAAAAGGGCTGAAAGTTTCACCCCCATCATGTCTGTAGCTGTCATTGCACCCCGCCATAATTTTCCAACCCATTTGTTTTTAAGTGCAACCTTTTCTAGCGGAAAGCTGCCCACCTCTAAATAAGGCAATTAATACAGTTTAAATGCACTTGCCTGTGCAGCAATTTAATTATATACACTTCCATAAAATACTGGTAGGATTTGACGTGAATGTATTATTTAATGAACTTCCTTTTTATGTTTTGAAGATAAGTAATCTTTAATATGTATGCCACCTACATATTTCCCTGTTTAACATATAAGTAAATTAGTTATATTGGAATAAATAAATGTTGGTTCATGACAAATTTAAAAAGAAAGCTCCTGTAAGCCCATGAGATAGACAGGGATAAAAATCAAATTAATATCTAATCTTCTTCATGCAGCACTTAAATGTAACCAGCTTCTGCAATTTGAGACATCATGAGTCTTTGATAAAAGCCTTCATCTTATTTTGAAATCTGGCCAAGAGACATTGATATTGTGGAATAATCCTAATTTGAAGATAATGGCCAATGCCTGACCCCCAGAGGGATCAATAGTTTAAATCAATTGATTCATAGTAGTTATTTTAACAGAGTCTACATTCTGACTATGATTTACCTTTAGCATCTCCTTGGCAGTGTATACAATTAAGAAATGGGTTGACAAAAAAGATGGTCCAGATGCTATAGCAGTGTCAGGGTATCTGGAATTTTACAATCTTTAAGAGATACTGTCCTTGAAGTGAAATCAACAGTACAATATATGAAACTCAAAAATAGGATCAAGATTAGCATTAGCAATATTAAATGTGGAATGAAGACTTGATTATCCAAATGGAAAATCAGTGGGTCCATATTTGTGCCATCCTTCCGAGAACTTTTTCTCAGATAAACAATGACCTATTGATGAATGTATAGATTTAATGCTAACATATAGTTAATTATATGTTTATTTGTAATTTCACACAATGTCTGATTTGACCCAGTAGACATGGCTGATAAAGCTTCTTGTTTCTTATAAAATTAATAATAATAATAATAATAATAATAATAATAATAATAATAATAATAATAATAATAATAATAATAATAATAATAATAATTAAAAAGTTGGAAGGGACCTTGGAGGTCATCGAGTCCAACCCCCTGCTCAGGCAGGAAACCCTACACCATTTTGGACGAATGGCTGTCCAATCTCTTCTTAAAAACTTCCAATGTTGGAGCATTCACCACTTCTGGAGGCAGGTTGTAAGTCTGGATATTTGGAGCTCCAAGTGACTTGATGTCAGCCTTCAAAATAGTCCACACCAGGAAACCAAAATCAAGAATATTATTTTTATTGTAATGTTACGGTAACAAAATTTTGCATGTCTGAAAGTGCATCTTCTCTTGCCTACCCTTAGAGAAACATTCCTACTTTGGACTCAAATTTCTCTTACCACAGTGTTGTTTAGACAGGATTGTTCTCACATTCCATTACTCTTAACAATCAATGAAAATGTTTAAATTAAGAAAATTGCGGCATAGCTACTAGAATTTTTTATTAAAAGATACAGATATTAGAATAAATAGTGTGGATGCATTCCAAATAGAACACATGCCCAATCCGAAGGGAGGAGAGATGTCTGTTCAACCTGGATGTTACTTTATGCATGAATAAATCATACAAATACCCAAACTATTTCAACAAATAGTGAATCCACTGATTCAGGACAAAATCTATTAAGAAATTCAGATTTTCTTCATTACAGCTGAAGTCTGTAAAATCAAAGAAAAAACTGTTCATTTCTTATGTCTCTTCAAGCAATTCAAATATAAAACTGATGCCCATGTTTTATTTAAGATTAAATGTGTGCTCAGTTTATAAATTCCACATTTGTTATTTTTTTCTGGCTTAAACTTCACTAACCAGGACCTTATCTGAAAACAAACGTTGAGTTTATTTTAGCCATTTACCCATTGCCTTAATATAGGAAATTACAGTGTATATATGCTATAGAATAATTGTGTTTTTCAAAATATTCTTCAAAACTGAAAACTTACTAAGTAAGTAAATTTCCATTTTATGGCATATTAATAATTATAGAGTTGCATGCCTTTATGATTAAATATTAATTTGTGTCTATTGTTATAGATCTTGGTGTAAATACAAATTGTAGCTGCTTTTCAGAAATTTAAGGGGGAAACAAGGAAGATGACATCAAACCCTTCTGGACAAGGTAAATGTTAACTCTGAGTAATTTTGACATTTCTCTGTGACTATTGCAGACAGGATGCTTTTCCCTGAGGTTCTGTGTGAATTAACATTCAAACAAACAAACAAAATCCCAGCTTCATACCAAAATGATACATGTAGCCTTAATGTATTGTGACAGGAATGGAATTTCTTGGACTCCCTTTCTTCGAGATCCCTAGGATCATACCCACTTAAATTACACCAAAAATAGATACATGATTTTAGTGATTTGATTTAGACTTTGAGTGGCTCGCACGCAGCATAAACAAAACTGAATAAAAATACAATAGAAAATAGAAAATAGAAAAATAATAATAATAATAATAATAATAATAATAATAATAATAATAATAATAATAATAATAATAATAATAATAATAATAAAAAAGTTGGAAGGGACCTTGGAGGTCATTGAGTCCAACCCCCTGCTCAGGCAGGAATCCTACACCATTTCGGATAAATGGCTGTCCAGTCTCTTCTTAAAAACTTCCAGTGTTGGAGCATTCACTGCTTCTGGAGGCAGGTTGTTCCATTGGTTAATTGTTCTAACTGTCAGGGAGTTTCTCCTTAGTTCTAGGTTGCTTCTCTCCTTGATTAGTTTCCATCCGTTGCTCAAAACTCATGCAGCTTTATTCAAGTAGGTGTCCCAACCACCTTAGCTAGGATCTGGGAGAACATTCAGGTCTTTGAAGCCCTTCAGAACACCACCCTAACCCAGGCATCGCAAAAAGGAAGCCATACTCCTTGCCTCCCAAAAGATGTCACTGCTTAATTGAAGGACCCAAAGTGTACCAACTCATGTCAGTTCTTGTCGGCTGGGCACACACTATTGGAGGTAAATGGTCTGTCAAATAAGCCCTATGCCTTTGAGGCATGCCCATTACTGCATTCTTGTCCACTTGAAGCTTCTAAGTGGTCTTCAAGGGCAGCCTCACATACAGCAATAGTCAAGATATGAGGTAACTAGAGCAGGGGTCTTCAAACTTGGCCCATGCCTGGCTGAGGAATTCTGAGAGTTGAAATCCACAAGCCATAAAAGGGCCAAGTTTGAAGACCTCTGAACTAGAGCATGAGTGACTGAAGAGCTAATACACCAGATGGAGTTGTGCAAAAGCATTCTGATTTTAACCCTAACCCTTAAAAATAGGTGTCCTAACCCTACCCTCTACCCAACTCCAGAAAAAAAATAATTATCTAAAACAAATCCTGAAAAACTAGTCTACATATTCGTGTGATATCACCATCCTGCAGCTTTAGATTGCCAAAATAATATAACCTTCATCCACGACCCCTAAGTTATAAACTTTTACTTACTTATCCCATTTATCCAATTATCCTATCCTTGATCTGGTAAGTTGAAAAGAAAATGTCATCAGAAAATCCTACAGTCCTAGAATTATTTTCTTACAAATGTTCTGAACATATGAATTGACTATTACCTTTATTCTTCCCTGTCATAAATTGGTTGAAATTAATGTTCTTTAATATGCATTGCATATATTATATGTAAGGGGGGGGGGGTAGGAATGATTTACAGGCAGTTTTTGCTGCAACAAAATTATATAGCACCACGTGGTTTTTTTCAAAATGTTTTTGGTATAATGTCCTTTAAAATTGACTCATTAAATTATCTGACCTTATTACAAGAGTTTTCAAATTGGTCTTCACTAAGAGATAGTTCTCTTGGGGAAAGTTTTCAGGCACAGTTTTATTTATCATTTAAATCACTGTTCCAAAGCAAAGCCTTAAACCAAAGGGCATCCATTAGTCTGTAAGTATGGATTTCTCCAAGGACTCCCTATTCATAAATCACTCTGTATTGCATGCTTCTCTTTATGCCGCTGTAATTATTAAAGGCAAGTAAGATACCATATTTTAATCATTCAGAAGAACTTTAATGTGCAAAATGAATTTTCCTTAATTATTACTGAACATTGTGGGACAATATGCCCTTAGAAAGTGAAAGATAATTGGCTTGTTGATTGCAATTCCAAAAAGCACAATTAAATCATTATAAAAGGTATAGTCTCTCTCTCTCTAGGGTTGCATTGCTGAGAAACTCAGTGCTCAGGTGTTCACTGTGGAAGGACGTGATGCCGTAGTACAGATAACAATTCTGAAAATGGCTTATAAGGACAACCAAACTCAAGATAATGAGCATCTTTTATGTTGCGTTTTATTAGGAAGCTATTTAATGCTATAAGTAAAGAGAAGGGAAATGGGGTACAGGTAGTCCTTGACTTAAGGCCTCACATTTAATGACCCGTTCGAACTGACATTTGTTACGAGAACATGGAGCCATTAAAAAAAAAACCTATCTCAACCCTAGGAAAGTAGAAATCCAAAGAGAGAGAAACTGAAAACTACTACTCCTTAATTGGCTTAGATATAGGTAGTCCTCCACTTTCATTTAACAACCATTGAAGGTCACAACGGTGCTGAAAAAAAGTGACTTACAATCCTACTTTACACGTATTCCCTCAAATCATGTGATCAAAATTCGGGCACTTGGTAACCGGCATGTATTTACAACATTTACACCATCATGGGGTCAAGTGATCACGGTTTGGGAACTTCCCAGGAGGCTTCTGACAAGCAAAGCCAATAAGGAAAGCTGGATTCACTTAATGACTGTGTGATTCACTTAGTGGATCATGGCAAAAAAAAAAAGGTGTAAAATTAGGCACAACTCCCTTAAACGCATCGCTTAGTGATGGATGTTCTGGTCCCAATTGTAGCCTTAAGTCAAGAATTACCTGTAATAAGCATCAGAGATGTTTGTTTTCAAGAGGAATATTTTCATTTTTCTCTCTGAAAGGTTATTTTGGAAACGTTTGAGGACATTGAAGTTATTGAGAGGTTAAAAGAAAGAAGACACCGTTCTGACATTTACCTCCTCTTTTTTTTTTTTCCAGGATTTCAGAATAAAAACAGGGTTGCAATCTTGGCTGAGCTAGACAAGGAGAAAAGAAAGCTGCTGATGCAAAACCAATCTTCCACTAATCACCCTGGAGCCAAGTAGGTTGTGCTCAAAAGCTTGTCTCTAGACCAGGGGTCCCCAACCTGTGGCCGGCGGCCTGGTACAAAAACAGGCCGATGCCATGCCGTGGGGCACAAAAATGGCCCACAGTGGGGCGCAAAAAAAGGCTGCCACACCATGGGGCGCAAAAATGGGATGCTGCCGTGCTGTGGGGCATAAAAATGGGACACCACGGGGTGCAAAAATGGGATGCCATGCTGCGTGAAAACGGGCCAATGCCGTGCCTCAGGGCATGAAAATGGGATGCCGATGTGCCTTGGGGCACGAAAATGGGCCGATGTCATGCCTCGGGGCACAGAAACAGGGCACTGTGCACAAGAACGGGGCAGGGCTAGCAAGTATCATGCAAGCACCACCCCACCCCGTTTGCGTCACACGCATGCTCACGGTCCCATGCACGCGTGCGCATGCATGCACGCGTAAAATGCTTTCTCCTCCCTTTCCCTCCGGTCCACCAACCAAGAAAGGTTGGTGACCCCTGCTCTAGACCACCTGCTCACGGGTTCTGATCATAGCAGTAGAACAGGCACAATTAATCCCCCCCCCCCCGCACTGTAAGAATTGGGAGCAGACTGCTTCTAAATCTATTCTGGGCTTGTACAGGTAGTCCTCGACTTACAACAGTTTGCTTAGTGATTGTTCAAAGTTACAACGGCACTGAAAAAAGTGACATCATTTTTCAGACTTATAGACATTGCAGCATCCCCATGGTTACATCATCAAAATTCATGGCAACTGACTCACATTTATGATGGCTGTAGCATCCCGGGGTCATGTGATCCCCTTTTGCAACCTTCTGACAAGCAAAGTCAATAGGGAAGCCAGATTCACTTAACAACCATGTTACTAATTTAACAACTGCAGTGATTCACTTAACAAATGGGGCGAGAAAAGTCATAAAATGGGGCAAAACTCGCTTAAGAAACTTCTCACGTAGCAACATAAATTTTGGGCTCAATGGTGCTCATAAGTTGAGGACTACCTGTATATCCCAACTCTCATCTTTGTCCTTTCTAACAAAGGAGGAAAATATTTGAAGCATTTTGAAATTTCAGTTTTTATATTTGAGTGCATACACGCACGCACACACCCTCACACATATACGTATATGCACACAAAGATATATATATAGATGCACAATTTAGAAAACACAGTTTCACCTCACTGAGGTGATCAGAGATAACATAGGCATTAAATTCTATCCTAAATAGTGATTAAGGTACATTTGGATATATTTTGTGGCAGAACATTTGCATATAAAATACTTACATATATCTTTTCAATCCAAGATTGCAAAGTGTGTCAAGTGTTTTATATGCAAATTTTCCCCAGATTGAAAAGGAAGTAGGATCTACTTGGAAGTAGCTAGAGAACAGGAGTTGCTAGGAGCCTTTGAAGTACTTCAGTGAGGTTCAGGTATTGTAACAGAATTTTGAAAGCCTAACATCCCCTCTCTCTACTTTAATTTGTACAAGTAGGCCTCAACCTACAATTACAAGTGGGAATCAGAATTTCAGTTGCTCAGCAAGATAGTTGTTGAGTTAGTAACACATAATTTTGCCACTCTTTTGCATGGTTGTTAAATGACTCACCCTGGTTATTAAGTGAATCACATGGTCATTTAGCGAATCCGGCTTTCCCCCATTGACTTTGTTAGCTATCTGTGTTAGCTATCCAATTTCCAGAGTATGTGGAGCCAGGGTGTTAGCTTGCAATCTGGTTATTCTGTTAACTGTCCTTAATGAATACAACTACTTGGACTGTATTTTTCTTGTTTCAGGGTCCCATAAAGTAGGGGTCCCCAACCCCGGTCTATGGACCGGTACTGGGCCGCGGCATGCCAGCAACCAGTCCACACAAACAAGCAAAGTCCCATCCATGGGATGCAGGCAGCACACAAAACCACGCACTCTCCAGTCCACGGAAAAACCTTTCTCTACAGAACTGGTCTCTGGTGCCCCAAAGGTTGGGGACTTCTGCCATAGAGACTTCTCTGGGCCTTTTCTCACGAATATGATAGTCTTTGATTAAAAAAAAAACGATACAGTTTTAGATGGCTTTCTCCCAGGTGTTGAATTTTACCATAATATTAAGTGGGGCTTGGACCAGAAAGGAAACAAAAAACAACACTTAAATTAACTTGTTTTCCTTTTTGGCATGTTTGAACTAAATTTTAATAGATTGTGATACTGCAGTCATATGTTTCTGCTGACTCCCAGCTGCCAACAGTTTAGCAGTTCGAGTCTCACCGGCTCACAGTTGACTCAGCCTTCCACCCTTCCGAGGTTGGTAAAATGAGGAGCCAGATTGTTGGGGCCAATATGCTGACTCTGTAAACCGCTTAGAGAGGGCTGTAAAGCACTGTGAAGCGGCATATAAGTCTAAGTGCTATTGCTATTACAAAGAGGCCTTGCTGAGTCCCTGTCTCAATGGGAAAATCTTTTTCTGCAGACAGGGTTCTGCAACTACTCTACAAAACATACGAACCTCCCATCGTGAAGTCTATGAGCCCCTGGTTAGTACTGTTGTTTTATTCAGGTTCCACTTAGGTAAGGCACTGGGTGGCACTGTGAGAAAGGAAAAACGTGCTGCGTGAGGGAGAGAGGAGAGTAGGATCTGTTCTCCTATATGTCTTCCAGCTGACTTGCTTTTGATTTATAGCCGGGTATGGTTGTTCTTTATGTTTGAGCTTGAATGCCATTAGTGGAGCACATCTTTCCAGAGCAGAACTGATGATCCCATTTGAGTTTGTTGTTCTTGAGTACATTAGATTTCTCCTGAAATTCTTCTCTTTTAAAAAAGAAACAAATATGAAAGTTTTGACTCTGGGATACCTAGCTCAAACCTTTGCAGTGAACCCTGTGCTCTTTCTCATCTCCATTGCCTTGGTGTGACGTGGCTGTTTTCCTCCTTCTGTTATTTACAGCATCTCTTTGGCTAGATCCTCCCTTAACAAGGATTTTCGGGATCATGCCGAGCAGCAGCACATAGCAGCGCAGCAAAAGGCTGCTTTACAGGTATGTTCTCCTGGTCAGTGCAGAGATAAAGAGGCCAGATAGCAGCTTCATAGATGTTGGTGGTTTTTTGGGTACCTCAGAAGCAGAGATTCCCAAGGATTCTTCTTCTTTTTAAAAGAGAAGGGAAGGATGGAAGCCCTGGTGGCACAGTGATTAGAATGCAGTATTATAGGCAAACTCTGCCCACAGCTTGGAGTTTGATCTTGACAGAGCTTAGCCTTCCATCCTTCCAAGGTTGATAAAATGAGGATCCAGATTGTTGAGGAAAATATGTAAATAATACTTTTATACTGTAAGCCACTCGCAAGAGTGCTGCAAAACACTGTGGGGAAGTATATAAGTAAGTGCTACTGCTATTGCTATATAGAAAGGGCAGTTTCCATAAGGCAGGGATTGGAACCCTGAATATATCGTGGTTACTCAGTAACTGAAGCTTCTGAGCTAAAATGGCTGCTTTGAAACCAGACGGGCTGGGGGCTGTGTCAGAAAACCTTGACACAGCCAGGAAGCTGCAAGTAATGGAGAGATGAATCAGCACATATTCTGTGTACTATTATAGTATCTAAAACAAGTAAAATAACACAAGAAATAATAGGCCATAATTAAGCCATACTACACACCAGGTGTCGCCAAACCTGGCAACTTTAAAATTTGTGGGCTTCAACTCCCACAATTCCCCAGCCAGCATGGCTGACTGAGGAATTCTGGGAGTTGAAGTCCATAAGTCTTAAAGTTGCCACGTTTGGAGAAGCCTGCTATATACTATAGAGCAAACCATCAAACTATCTGAGAACTTGTTGTGAACGATCTTCTAAAAAAATATGCAGGGATGGGATGGACTGAATCTGTGGGGAGATGCTGGGCAGGTGTTGTTACCAAGAAGACACACCTCCTCTGTCAGTTCTTTATGTGATAGCAGAAATGATGGGAGTCCCTGCAGAATACAAAACTGAACTCATGATCCTTTGCCTTCTTGCAAGAATAAGGCAAGCTGAGAAATGCTATCAGGTAAATTGAAAGCACTTGAAAATGAGGCAGAATGGAAGGTTAGGAGAAACTGAAAATTGAACAAAGCAAAGGATTGGTTTTTCTATATGCATTGCGATTTTGGACACACCCCTCCTTGGATCCAAACATCTGGTGATTTCAGGCAGCAGGATAAAAGCTTGCAGAGTGTGATGCACAACTTTTGGAAAGTGATGAAGTACAGAGAGAATTTAAGAAAGAAAAATATTTCTATATTTCTCTTGATGGTAGTCGATCTTCTTCCATTGGGAATTACTGGAGGGTGTCCAACAAGTCCAATAACACCAATGTGGGATGTTAACCGCAACCTTCACTCTTCGATGGGCCCAATTGAATTACTTTTAGGAATAGAAATTCATGTGCCTCACAAAAGTTTAAAGCAGGAGTGTTCAACCCACGGCCCACGACACACGTGCAGCCCTGGACAGGTAGTAATGTGGCCCCACAAGATAATTAAAAAAAATATAAGAAAGGAAGCTTGTTATTTATATACCTTAACTATATTATATATTTTATATGTGGTCCAAGACCATTCATCTTCATTCAGTGCAGCACAGGAAAGCCGAAAGTTTGGACACTCCTGGCTTAGAGACTGCTTAAATACAAAATGAATGCCAGTGATGTGATTTTGGTGCTGAAATAAGAGCAGCGATTACTCCTGCTCATTGTGTGTCAACGTTATTTTTCATTTTAGTATCTGCTGGAGGTCAGCTGGAATGCAAGCCATATTGGGAGCCTGACAAAACCCAAATGCTCCTAAAGAATTTCATTAGCATGTAGACAAACAACCTTTGAAGAAGATTCTCTCCCCCCCCCCATCAGATTTAAATGACCAATTCTGACTTTTCCTAGGTTTTAGCTGACTGTTATATCAACACGATAAAAGTGTCTGTGTTGAAAGATTTTGGGCATTGAAATGTATAGCTGAATCATTTTGAAAGTGTTTAGTGGGCTCCTTTAGCTGGGACGGCAGTGGGGATGGGATTTGTTTTTGTCTTATGTGTATAATTTTCAAACAGGTGTATCTATTCCTCTTACAGCACGCTCATGCACATTCTTCAGGATACTTTATAACACAAGACTCAGCCTTTGGGAATCTTATTCTTCCTGTATTACCACGGCTAGATGTAGAGTAAAAGAAAATTCATGAAACAGAAAACATCTGGGTTCATCTAAGCTGCTATTTCAACTTTGAGGCAATCGTTTGTGAGAAGAAGAGCTGAAAACTGTTCAAAATGGCTCTGATTTTGAATTCCTGATATTTTGTTTCTTGGAAGACAATATAAAATGTATTCCGGAAATTCCCTGCTTTTATTGTCCTATTACATGTGTATTGGCATTTTTAAAGAACTTGTTTTCATTTTCTAGCACACATGAATAAGCCTTTAAGTCAGAAAATTGAGGGGGGAAGCGAGGTACAGTGTCTGAGAAACAGAAAGATCTGTAACAGTGTCTTATTACCCATTTATTAAATTGATTATGCATAAATCGTATTGGTGAGTTTTAATAGTTCCTAATATTATAAAAAAGTAGAATGCTGGAGTTTAGAAATTCAACAAGAAACAACCACGTGCATGGGACAAATGTATCAAAATAAATTTAATGTTTAATTTAACATACCTGGTTAGTTGAACTCTTTTCAAAGGTTTCCACCACAAGACAGATTCACATGGAACAGTAAACAATCACAACAGAAAGACAGGTGCAAAAAAGAATATATGATTGCCCAAACCAAGATGACTTTATCTCATGTGGTTCTGATAGTGTGATCACCAGGGACTTTCCAAAACAAAGTACATATTTCAAGATAATGTTCATCTAATTGTATATAACTGGCGGTTAGCAGTGTCTCATTTGTGCGAGTCTCATAGCCAGAATCTGGCATTTGTCTCCTTTCTTTTTCTTCCACTGAGGAAAACTTCATGTGCAAACAAGAGAGAGTTCCAAACGGACAGATGGTCTTAGCAGTTGGAGAAAATCCTACCTGTTGAATCCCTGCTTATCATGTAGCTCTTAAGAAAAAAAACACCATCAAAGCAGACACAGGAGAAAAATGGTGTCATTCTGGTGTGGTTGTCTCACATCTATTTTATCATGCACATTTGTTTGTTATACACAAAGTTAAGGCTACATTTTAGAATAGGTCGAGGAACCGAAAGATCGTAGAAGAGAAGACCTACACGGTCGTTACCTGTTGTCGCTACTCTTCATCTAAGTACCCTCCGTACCCTGTGTCTACACGATAAACTTCGTGGAAGACAAAGGAATCGACATTCACCTTTGTTGATAATGGTTTGTACAACTAATTGTCGATACGAGTTCACTTACACGCCGCGTTCTTAGGCTTGTAGCATAAATTTGTACACAGGATTCCTAAATGTTTTGCCATCACACCTCCCTTTAGTGTAATCTTAATATATATACCTCCCCAACACCGAAATCAACAATGAAAAAATGGGAAAGGCAATTTTACTATAACAATGTAACTAAAAGGTTCTTCACACTTACCTTGGACTCTGCATCTCTCCAAGAAAGGTACAATTTACAGTTTGGGAAACCCTGATGTACAAGCTGGGTAGTTAATAATATCTTGGAAGCCTCACCAGTTTCACGGAATAAGCCAGCCAGAATATGAATTTGACAGAACATTATTCTTTGATACGGGGAATTTTGATAAAAGTCGCTTCCTAAGAAATCCCAATGCAATTTGTTGACAGCATTTATACTTCCTGTTCTTGAGTTTTCTAATACCAAATATTCCAGTAATCTGAGTAAAGACGGCCCCAATTATAATTTGGGAAGTTTCCTTCCCCAAATTATTACATGGTTCTTGTTGCTTCTTGTTAGAGGAGATGCTTGGGGACAACTGACTAAAGAGTGCTTAGATGTAGCAGCCAGCTGAATCATTCTGACTGAGGCAGCATATAAGTCAATGAATGAATGACTACAGTATTACAGTTGATATAAAAAGCCAAACACTCCTGTTAAAATGCCAGGTTTCAATAATAATCATAATATTTGTAACAGTGATCTAGTCAGTGTTTATTACAGGCCAATGCATAAAATGGATATAGAAATTCTACACATCCTTGTTAAAATGCCAGGTTGAGATGTAAAAAAATCAGACCAAAGTAAATCACATCAGAATTTTTTTCCACCTTTAATATAATTTGTACAATTCAATTAAAAAAACAAATATTTTAGGGAGGAAAATAACAAAAAACTAGAATATGTGGTTGCATAAGTATCTACCCTTTCTTCTAAGTAGGGATGTGGCTGTGTTCAAAATTAACCAGTCGTATTCAAACTGATGGTAAATAGTAGCCATTACATACCTGTCATCAATTAAAATTACTCTTATCAAGCTCATACAACATTCAGCTGTTCTAGTAGGATTTTTCTGATATTTACTCAGTGGTCTCTTACAGCAAAAGCCACAGTCTGCAGAAAGCTTATGAAGGGGTCTCATTCTTGGAAAGTATCAGTCTGGAGAAGGGTACAAAAAAAAATTCCAAGGCACTGGATGTACCATGGAACACAATGAAGACAGTCATCAACAAGTGGGAAAAACACATGGAACAACAGTGACATTACAAAGAACTGGATGTCCCTCCAAAATTGATGAAAAAACAAGAAGAAAATTGTTCTGAGAGGCTGCCAAGAGGCCTACAGCAACATTAGAGGAGCTACAGGAAATTCTGGCAAGTACTGGTTGTGTACTACATGCAGTGGTGGGATTCAGATATGTGAACAACCGGTTTTCTGTGTAGATGCCGCTTCCAAAAGTCCATTCAGGGCCTGGGCAACAAAAAATTAGCTATTGGTTCTGCCAAACTGCTGCGAACCGGCTGAATCCCACCACTGACTATACGTGACAACAATCTCCCACATTCTTCATATGTCTGGGTTGTGGGGTAGGGTGGCAATTCTTCCAAAAAGTATGCTTGATGCAAAAACAATGCTGTGACTCATCAAAAGTATGCCCACAGTGAAGCATGACTGTATCAGGATTACGATTTGGGGCTGCTTTTCAGCTGGAACAGGGGCTTTAGTCAAGGTGGAAGGAATTATGAACAGTTTTCAAATATGCTAAAATGCTGAAGATGAAGAGGAATTTCTCCTTACAACCTGACAACAACCCAAACCATTTCTCCAAATCAGCAGAAGAACTGCTTCACCAGAAGAAGATCAAAGGTTTTGGAATGACCCAGCCAGAGCCTGGACCTGAATCCAACTGAAAATTCGGTGGGGTGACCCAAAGAGGGCTGTGAACAGGAGATGCCCTCACAATCCGACAGATTTGGAGAGCTTTTGCAAGGAAGACTGGGCAAAGATTCCCAAGGTAAGAGAGGCTCCCACCCGAAAAGACTGAATGCTGTCATAAAATCAAAAGGTGTTTCAACAAAGTATGGGTTTAAGGGTATGCACGCTTATGCAGCCACGTTATTCTAGGTTCTTATTGTTATTTCCCCCCCTAAAAGATTTCAATTTGTTTTTCAGTTGAACGGTAAGCTTCTATGTTATATTAAAGGTAGAAAAAATTCTGAAGAGATTTATCTTAGTCTGATTATTTTTTACATCTCAAAAACCTGGCATTTTAACAGAGGTGTGTAAACTTTCTGTATCAAACTGTATGTATTGGCCTATGATAAAGACTGAGTAGATCATTCTCAAAAATATTATGAATATTATTGAATCTTTAGTTCATGAACTTTAATATAACTCTGCAGTAATAATGCATATCCAGGCAGAGAATTTTAAGTAGGAAATTGATGAGAAAATCTGCAGCTCAATGAAATGCAAAATTGCTAGAGGGCTGAATCTATACTGTGAAAAAAACTGATGTGTATCAAGCTGTTAAAGGCAAAAAAAAAACCACTTTGGGTGAAGAGAAGTTCTTGGTTAGTTGGCAGCTCTTCTGGAATGTGACTTTGGCAAAGATGGCCGTAGAAATAATTTATCCAACTGAGATAGGTAGTTAAGAAGTGTGAAATATAATTAAATGCAAATAATCCTCGACTTACGACCATAATTGAGCCCAAACTTTCTGTTACTAAATGAGACAATTAAGTGAGTTTTGCCCCATTTTACGACGTTCCTTGCCACAGTTATTAATGAATCATGACAGTTGTTAAGTTAGTAGCATGGTTGTTAAATGTCATTGACTTTGCTTGTCAGGAGGTCACAAAAGATAATCACATGACCCCAGGACACTGCAACCATCATTAACATGAGTCAGTTGCCAAGTATTAGGATTTTGATCACGTGACCATGGGGATGCTGCAACGGTTGTGTGAAAAACAGTCATAATTCACTTTTTGCAGCACTGCTGTAACTTTTAAGTCGAGGACTATCTGCAAACAAATTTAAATGCTCTTTTTTTCGTCGAAACATCTTTTCAATGAAAAAAAGTTCCCTTCTTCATCTAAGATTGGGTGATTCTGGAGATCCGTTTTTGGTGACTGTAACCTGCCTATTGAATATTCTCTTCAACTATTTTGTTTCACTTCCCCAGGCATTCTAATCCTGAATCTGTGAGCTGTTTTTAAATCATAAATGTTAAACCTTTACTCTGCTTTTAATCTGCTCTGCTCCTCTTTTCCATTTTATATTAATCTTTTAATATCATGCCTTTTGATAGTCGTCTTGCAAGTTTAAAATAAAATAAATGGAGAAAAGACTTTTTAAGTATGTATCACCACCTTTCTGTTTTTATTCTTTTTTGGGGGGGAAGCATCCTTCCGTTTGCTGGGCACCCAGTACAAGGTGAAAGGAGGTGCCTAGAAGAAGAAGAAGAAGAAGAAGAAGAAGAAGAAGAAGAAGAAGAAGAAGAAGAAGAAGAAGAAGAAGAAGAAGAAGAAGAAGAAGAAGAAGAAGAAGAAGAAGAAGAAGAAGAAGAAGAAGAAGAAGAAGAAGAAGAAGAAGAAGAAGAAGAAGAAGAAGAGGAGGAGGAGGAGGAGGAGGAGGAGGAGGAGGAGGAG